GTGGGGGTGGGGGGAGGACCAGGGAGGATGATTCAACCACTCAACCACTAGATGTCGCTGAAAACAACAAATCCTACACACTGTGCCTTTTAAATTTTTTATGTAGTTGAACAAACACATCCACAGGTGTTGCAGCACCTTTAACACCCCTGCTTCTTACAGTCTCTTTGGCTTTTTTTTTTTGATTGATTTTGCCTTTATTTCCCTAATTGATTCAGACTGAGCCTAAAAGAATTATACTTACACTTGTTTAATTTACACTACCAAATATTTTCCCACAAGTGCAAGTTTATAACATGACTGATTTCCAAAAAAGGACAGTTTTGTTTTGACTGAGCATAACTCTAGCTTTGCTACAAACACTCCAACTTTATTTGTATGGCACGTTTTAAACAATGACCATTGGCCAAAGTGCTTCACATATTACAAATTTCAAAAAGACTAAATGGAATGCAGGGTTATAAGAACAATAAAAGCAAATATGATAAACCGAAGAAACAAACCACAGGAAATGGAAAGAAAAAGCCTGGAACTATTTTCCAAAATATTTGTCTGGAAGAATACTCTTTGGATTTTAATRTCAGAGCATTTGACCTCTTTTAGTACCGTAAATCAACATAACTCTCTGGATACCAAAGGTTGCATAATGCATGCAGTCAAAAACTGAAACCTGGGTTTACTTCCAGTAGTAGCATCTTGTTCAAAATATGTATGATTGCTAATCTTTAATAGTAACCCAGTCTTAAAACATGAATAGTAAAGATTAAAAATAATTGAGTCTGGGGCAAAACATTTTTTAWATTTACCCTGTGAGTAAAAGTCTTCATCAGTTACTGACTTCCAGTACAATTCTTATCATCTTGACTTGAAGCCATTGACTGATTTTTTGAAATCCTCCTCCCTCAGTGCCATCTGCCAGCATGACCCGCCTGGCCCGTTCCCGCACCGCCTCCGGCTCCAGCGTCACCTCCGACGGCAACCGCTCGCGCTCGCACACCACCGAGGGCAACCGCTCGCGCTCGCACACCAACGAGGGCAGCCGCGCCCGCAGCCACACGGACGGCACGGCCAACAACAACGTGGACCAGTCCGTGCCCAAGTCCACCGAAGTCTCCTGCTAAACGAGCCGCCGCTGCAGACACGCACGTACACACACATGTACACACATGGTCCTCTTTATTTTGTGCTGCGTTCCCTCCTAATTATACACAGTTATTTCTACACACATAATGCACATGTATGTTGGGAAAAGGAAAAACTAAGAAATGCGCACAAAGGACTCTCATCTGCAGAGTTTTTTGCATTTGAGATGCCTGAATTTGAACATTCATCTTTTTTAAAATAGGAGGTCAACTATTTTGTCATTCAGGGACTCACGTGAACACAAAATGTCAAAACTCTTCGAGGGCAGTTGGAGGCAACGCAGCGTTAAGGCACAGAAGCAGAGAAAGCTGTGGCTCCAGCTTCAGCTCAAACAATCTCTCTTGCATTAAAAAAACATAAAAAAACATTCCTCGATCCTTTTTATTTTGTCCACTTTTCCTATAATCACAGCTCTCRAACATTACCTGACTGTAAATGTCTTTTGTGTTCTAACTGTAACTGATCATTTATTCCCATTATTCCATGGCTGAGAAGTCTTGTTCTGTGTGCATAGCTGCAGATTTGTAGACATGAGGAGAATGTGGAGGATGATTAGGAAAGGGCTGTTTTTGTTTAGTCTTTTTTTTTCATAAATTAAGGGAAAAAGTTCAAGAATATCCTGTAAATATGCAAATTCCTTCCTGCCATGCATCRTCTTTGAGGTGTTGGGATTTTTTTTCCATCCCCCTGAAGTTTATGATTTTTTCATTTTATTTCTACATGTGAACCACAACCCAAACTGTATTTTTAGAACACGTGACTGAGAATTTGCTTTGTAATGAATCAAAAATACAAATTCAGCAATTCATCATCATGCTTTATTTGCTTTGTTTYTGTTTTGTTTTTCCTCCTATTTTTACAATGATTTCTATGCGTTTAAGAACAATGGAACAAAGAAGAGAAAAAAAAAAGTGCCATGGCATTGTTCACTCGTGGGATGCGGTGCTTCTTTTTTGTGGTTGTGGATATGTGGCTGAGTAAAGAGGGAAAAGGTCCAGACGTTATGAAGAGAGTCATAGAGACTGTAACCTGATACCTTCTGTATTGTCACTTTTACTACAGCAACATTTTACTTTGCAAAAGTCATTAACACAGCTTTGTAAAGATGCACAAACCATCTATTGCTGTAGAAAAAGCATTAAAAACATAACAGTTTGTATTTATTAAAAAAAAATGACAATAAAAACTTGTAACACATTTGGTGTCTTAGTTGCATTTTTTTGACTGGGCCATCAAATGCAGTGTTTCTGTTCTAACTTGCTTATAAACTGATAGCAGATGCACAGAAAATAAAAGCTTCCTTGAAGGAAAGCGTGTTGCCTGTCGAGCCTTTTTGGCCAAACCAGATTATATCATCGTCTATAAAACTGAGTTGTAGCCATTTTTGTTTGCTGTTCTTGCTTAGCCATAACCCCCCTTGAATCAGGTTGACTCGAAGTTGTAGATGTTCTTCCAATGATAAATAGATAATTTGCTTACAAACGAGCAAATAGTTTGCTTTCTGTGGCGGCAATAAATACCTACAGGAATCAGTTTCAAGATTTTCTTAAAAGAGACATCCTGCTTTTAAATCCTTTTTCACATTTAAACCATTCAGTTGGTCTGTGTAAAGTGAAAGCAATCCCTCCTTTATTGTAACTCCACAAGCCCCTCTTTCACCGCTTTTCAGAGGTGTGACTCGTTTTGAGGCTGTCTCTTTAAATCCGAACGAGGGCCTTCACGCCCCGCCCTTATTTGGAAGTTCCGTCGCAAATAACAGAATAAAAGATATCTACATAACACCGATAGAGACTAAATTTAAATGTTCTGCACTGCTAGAAACTCTAAAGGATAAAAAAGTGGATTTTTCTTTAAGTAGCAAGATTATTAAACGTCACGTGCATAGAAGCTTCATAAATAAATTCAATATTTTACAGGATTTTATATATATATATTTTTCAATTCTTCAAATGCCATTGAAAAGCAGCTCAGGTTGTGAGTCATTCGCGATATTCCTGCTGAAATAAAAACATTGCGCCTCAGTCCATGACCTCTGGCTGACCGTAGTAGCTGTCCAGCTCTGCGAAGATGTCGTTAGGGCTTTGGCAGCTGAGGTTGCAGAAGCACGCCTGGATCCACAACATCTTCCAGGTGAAGCCCGCCTGGTTGGGGCACTCGAAGTCCACGTCAATGGTCTTGGACTTGTACGGGACGCAGCAGCGCTCGTCGGAGCAGACCCCGCAGTACTTGGGCCGGTACTGCTTCTTGCTGGTGCAGCCGGAGATGGTGAAATTGGACGGCTGGTCCTCCCTGTAGATATTCAGGCACTTCTTTCCTGGCTGCGGACAGTGAGAGACGTTTAGTGCTGCGAACGCTGGAAAGCTTTCAGATATCTGTGGAGCGGTTAGGAAAGTGAAGGTGCAGATGTATTTACTTTGAAATGTTTGGTGATGTCCACCTCGCACGGCCGCAGGTTGCACAGGCGGGACTCCTTGACCATCTCGCACTGATCGTTGGCGTTTGAAATTCTCAAGGACAGGCCACGGCCGCAGGTCTTGGAGCAGGGGCTCCAGGAAGTAGTCTGAGGGATGCAGTTGTCGTGCCAGCTCCTGGACTGAGCTGGGACTGCTGGATCGGACACAGGGAAGAAAAAGCAGATAAGTCGTGTGGAAAAATAACAGCTTGGAGCCCTCACGGTTCTACGTGAACTCCAAGTAGCTTTAGCTCATCAGTCCAGTCAGAAATAAGCTCAGGGGCTGCATCCTTCGAAGGCCATCCAAATTCACATCTACTTTCTTCTGATCAGACCAGTCCAAGCAGGTCAGGTGATTTGAAGGATGCAGCCCTTGAATTTAGAGCTGTTATCATTTRACAAGCTGTCTACAACAGGTAAGAAATTGTTTATTGAACCCCTTTTACAGAGCCTCAAAAAAACAGAACTGCCCCTTTAACCATTAAACAAAAACAACCTATCTGATTGAGAGAAGTTCAAGGTCTAACAGACTGATGAACCCTCTGAACTGTCTGGGTTTTCAGTTCAATATTTCCACTTTTCCTGCCTTCGCAAMAGTCGCAAATCTATTAAATAGAAAACACCGCGTCCCCTCGTACTGCCATCTGTTCTCAATCGAAATACTTAAAACGTGTCCGTCCAGCGGTCTGGATCTAATTTGTCTTTTTATGCAACACGTCAAGATCTTCATTTACGTTCTTGCCTCAGTGGCTCTGGCGCTTTAAACGACTGGAAACTGGAAAAGATCCAAGAAGAGTGTGAGGGCTTCCACAGGAAGGACGCACGCACACACACACACACACACACACACACACACACAC